GGGCCCCGCGTGTACTTTCAGAGCCCCCCTGGGGCTGCAGGTGAGGGCCCGGGCGGTACGGACGATGAGGGCCCAGTGAGACGCCAAGGGAAGGTCACCGTCAAGTACGACCGCAAGGAGCTACGGAAGCGCCTCAACCTGGAGGAGTGGATTCTGGAGCAGCTCACGCGCCTCTACGACTGCCAGGTGTGTTCCCCACCCCGTGCCGACACCCTAAAAACGGTCCCGGGTCGGTTTGCCTAGGAACCCCACTGTGAGCCCGCCTGTCACCGGAGTCAATGGGCGCTCCACTTCTGTGCGCTCCCCTCCTCTGCACTCCCCGCCCCCAATGTGTATGCTCTTTTTTTGTCTGACCTAAGTCAGTTCTATCTTGTTCACTGCGAGAGACCCTCTCTCTCTCCCTCGTGCCACTCCCCAAAGGCAATCTGATGTCCTCGAAAAAGTGTCTAGGGATAGCCTGTGCCTTGGGCAGGAGGCAAAGAGCTAGCCTGGGCTGGCAATGGGAGGAGATCTAACCTGCCTACTGCCAGCTAACTTAGACCTTGGCTGAAAGGGGCTAGTCTGGTTGATGGGGGACTGGAAAGGGCCTTGGCAGTTCTAATGAGCTAGCCTGGAGTTCCATCTTAGCATGTGAGCAGGTTAGCCCGCTCTCGGCTCTGGTTCTCCACCCCATGACTCCCTGGTTGCTCAGATGGTGACTCAGGCCCCCAGGGGGCAGGGTGGAAGAGTGGGCTTGCCCTGTATTGCCTACCCTAGCCCAGCCCTGAAGTGCAGCTGGTTCCAAACAGGATAGCAAGCTTTCCCAGAGGGTGGGGCGGTGAGCAACCCCTCCATCACCAAAGCATGGGCTCTTTGTTTCTCCTTTACCAGGCCTGGGTACTTCCCACTGACCCCTCACCCTTCACTTCCTCCACACTCCCGGGAAGCTGTGACAGGTGTTTGGGGGAGGGGAGGGGGGTGTGACAAGCTGGGACAGCTGGCCCCACCACTGCTCTTGGTGAGATGGGGGGCCCGGATGTTGGGGAGACACATCTGCTGGGTTCCCAGCCCAAGGTCTCTAGCCCTGGCTCTCTGGCCTTGTCTGGCACTCCGGGTGCCCACTGGCAGGGACAGGAAGCTCCCCCTCCATTGGGCAATTTGCCTTGGCACGAGCCTGATCTGTTTTCTTCCTCAGAGCAGCTGGCGTTGTCTGCCAGGCAAAGAGGGCTGGGCTCCTCCTGAGGTAGGCAGGGACATCAACCGAGAGCCCCTCTCACACCCTCTCCCAACTCAGGCCCTTGTCTCTCCCTCCTCCCCCACCCCCACCTCAGGAAGAGGAGATCCCAGAGCTGGAGATTGATGTGGATGAACTCCTGGACATGGAGAGTGATGATACCCGGGCTGCCAGGGTCAAGGTAAGAGGGGGTGATGGCCTTGGGTGTAGGGCTGCCTGGAGGCACTGCCCTAGGGGAAGCAAGGCTCTGAGCCTGGCCTTCCTTGGTCTGAGTCAGCCAGCTCTGTGACCTTAAGTCTTAGCTTCTGTCTCTGGCAAATGGGGCTAATGCTACTTACTTGCCTAACTACATAGCTGTGGCATCTCCTATGCCTCAGGGTGACCCCAGTCTCTTGGAAGTGGGTATAGGTAAACTCTAGGCCTTGTTCTTGAAAACTCACTGTGGGGAGGCGCCTGTGGCTCAGTGAGTAGGGTGCTGGCCCCATATACCGAGGGTGGCAGGTTCAAACCCAGCCCCGGCCAAACTGCAACAAAAAATAGC